TCTATACCATATCCAAACAGGACATTGATGACCATGGTCTTCCAGAGATATTTCTCTCTCTCTCTCTATATATATATATATATATGTGTGTGTGTGTGTATATATATATATATCATATCCACACAGGACGTTGGTGACCATGGTCTTCCAGATATCTCTCTCTGTATGTATACCATATCCAAATGGGACGTTGTTTGACTATGCTCTTCCAGAGATCTCTTCTCCTTGAAGCACGAAGAATCTCTAATATCGATACATTCATCATTTACATAGACTACCGACATAAGGCAACCTCTGTCTTCCACGGTCTCTCCTTCCTCCATTCTTTCTAGTTACGAACATACTTTCAATTTCTTCATTCCTCATAACATGCACTAGAAATTCCAACTGTCATTTTCTGATGTTAGTCAGCAGCTTCGGTCTCAAGTAGTACACACTTTTTTTGTTTCGGTTTTACAATGCACAACTATACTTATTTCCTGTCGCAGCAGTAATAATTTAGGACTGATATATCGTGTCTATCACAACAATAACAAGGATTTTTAAGTTGTACGTGTTGTCTGTTACAACAATAACAACGATATTTAATTTGTACATGTTGTCCGTCACAACAATAACATGGATTTTGAAGTTGTACATGTTGTCCGTCACAACAATAACATGGATTTTTAAGTTGTACATGTTGTCTGTCACCACAATAACAAGGTTTATGTACCCTACATGCGTGTCACAGCAATAAACTTTAGTCCTAGTATATTAAAGTGTACGTACACCGTATCCTACTACGACAGACATCACTTATTTTCTAACAACTCTTTAGTTTTTGTAATGTTTATTTGCAAACAATGCAGTGAATTTTGTATGTAACAGTTAAAGCTGTTACTAGGATAGTCTTGTTACCCAAGCTTGCTTGGTGTAGTAGTTGTAGCAGTAATCAGATAGAAGGATTTGTGCGACAGAAAATAATTCTGAATTTTTCCGAGATTTGACTCTTAGATTTCAAAGCACGTTATAGTATGTTTTGCTTAACATTTATGTAATAACTTCTACCAGAAGAATTGCTAAAAAATTCGGTCAGTTTATCGTTACTTGAACAATACTTTGAAATAAACTGTCACAAGGGTAACTCAAGTGAAACTAAACAAAATGGCTTCCTTTGGTACAGATTATTCATCTGTTTTGCAGAACATCTGTCTGTCAATAAATGTAATAGAGTAAGAATTGTATTCAATATCTCACGTATATGTATATATATATATGTAACACAACTGACATGCGACTGTTACTGCGCATGCTTGTGGAAGGTAGTATGTTGATGGCACAAGAAGTACCGTGTTTTTGTAGATCGATATAGGTTTGTGAGACGGTAAGTGGTAACCGGATGAGTCAAGGACATGTATTACGTCATCATGTATACTGATTTGTCACTGAATTTAAGGGGTAAAAGAACTTATGAAGTAGTTATAATTCACATAGTTCATTACAGAGTGAGTTTTGAGGGGGAAGAAATTCCAAAAACAACAATAATAACAGGTAAATATTAAAGACAGGTGTGTTTAATAAAGGGGAGCCCACCAAGCATTTCTAAGAGGTTTTGGCGCACCCTGCCACTTCTTTGTGATTCCCATTATTCATTATTGATTAGATAAAAAAGAAAACCATAATTATTCAACTTTAAGTAAACGAATGAAGTATAGAGAGGACATGGAACAGAGAAATTATCCTTCCGAGCGATACCCTTAAAAACTTTCAGACTTTGCTTGTTCATATGTAGCTTCAGATCTTTTGAAAATTCAACAACTCTGATACTTTATTTTTTGCTAGCACTAATCCACTGATTAAAGGGCTGTAAGTTTGACGAGCAGACTTACAGTTACAAGTACTACACGAACTGTCCTTTATCGAAGTCCGAAGTTAGTTTTAAGTACAAAAATGACCCGTGTTTTTTTTCCCCACCAAATGTCATGACCCATATTATTTGTTGATCCAACCATTATACTCTATTTAGCTTACTTATTGATAATGAAATATGTTGTGTCCGTCGAATAATGTTTCACTGATAAACAGTACTTACAAATGTCAGTTTTAAGTAGTGTGGCTTAAAAAAAGAGAGAGAGACCGATTTTGAATTGCACGTGGCTGGCAACCTTCTATGGATCCATCCATCTTGGAAAGCGGTATAACAATTTCACATAATTCTGGTGACGATATCATTACTGATCGATTTTTCAGGATTTAGAGGCAATTATCTAAATGTTTTTCTCTGACTCTTTCTGATTTCATTTCCGATTTAGACACAAAATGGCCCTTTCATGGTTGTCAATCAGACAAGTTTATTTTAAACCATAAGACCTAGTTCTTTGGTTTGTCGTCACTTCGAAAGCGGTGGTAAACTGGCTTGGTGGTAATCATGAAAGTAAAGCGGAGAATCAACTGACCACACAGTCTTCCATCTGCGCCAGATACTCCACACCCACACGTATTTATGTTTTAACGAGTCTGCGCACAAATCTTTATGCCAATAGATTATTATTCCGAGAAGGTAAATGACCAAACAATCACGCAATGGAGTGAAAAAAAAAGAGAGTGACCAGTAGTGACCACAAGATAGGCTAGCGAGGATGGTTGTGTGGTATACATTATGGTAGATGTCCTGGAAGACAGGATTGAAAGGGATTGCCGCCACAGGAACCAAATTACTCCCAGGTAATGTGTGTATCCATCCATACAGCTATCTAGCGAAATCCTGGATGATCCTGGGCACGTATAGGTTTAAACAACAACAGTTAATATTAGTTATTGGATAGTTAGTATCTGTTTTGTTTGCGTGTTTATTTTTTCAATACAAAGTTACACAATGGGCTCTCTGTGCTCCGATTTCTAGCGTTAGAAGTACTCAGATTTACTTCTTAGCCACCGATGGCGGGGGGGGGGGAATAAAAAGGTACTCCCAATAATGTTTGACCAGTGTGTTTGTTTTTTGAAATTCGCGCAAAGCTACACGAGGGCTATCTGCGCTA